GATGTATACCTTGCTATATACAAATCAAATAAAGAAATGATGTTTACCTACAAAAAAAAAAAAAAAAAAAAAAAAAATTTTTCAAAAAATTTTGGGTACCACTATATAACTAGTAGATTTTAGCAAATCAATCTAAAATAAAAAAAATTTAAAAAACTTTTTGTTAGATAACCTACTATTATATATATAAATAATACAATATAAATAATCTGATTTAAACAAAATATAAATTATATCTTAGAAAAAATAAAACAGTTTTATATAACTAATAATTTTTAAATTAATAGTAAAAAATTTGTTTTAATAATAATTAATAATAAAAATAAATATTCAAATAAAGTATATATAAAAATTAATTGAAAAAATTATTGAACTGAATCAAAAACATTATTTTTATTTTTTAAGAATTCAACTAAAGAACAAATATTATATTAAAGACAAAATATTTAGAATCCAATAAGAAATTTAATTAGTAATAACTATTTTTTTTTTTAAAAAAATATGAATAAATATATGAAATATATATTAAAATATAATATTATATACTCAATTCTAATATAATTTATATTTTATTAATACAACTTCAAATAATTTTAAAATATATAACTTATATATTCAAAACAATATTCAATTTAATTATTTAAATTTCAAATTTTATAAGTTTGCTTAATAGTTTTGAACATTCAAATAATTCAATAATTATTTATTTTAAACAAGTTTAAATTTAATAAAAATTAAATTATTTTTTTTTAAATAAAATAAATTTATTAACTAATATATTTTTTGATTATAAATATAAGTAATTTAATTATTAGATTATTATAAATTATTAATATTATATTAAAGTATTTAAAAAAATATCTTAATATATTGACTTGGTAAATTATTAATTTCTATTTAAAAAAATCAATAAGACTTTGTTTAAAAAAACAAATAAAAATATTTAACTTTTTTACAATTATATATTTTTTAAATAACAAGTTAACCAAAATTTTTTTTATAAAGTGTAAAATTTAACTTAAACAATTTTTAAAATCAATAATTTTAAATTATTATACAATATTTAATTTTAATATCATTAATTTGAAAAACTAATTGACAATTACAAAAAAAAATAAATAAATTTATTATTAATTTTGAATTAGTAATTAACATAAAATTATTTATATAAACAATAATAGATATTAGATTCTTTTTATATATTTCTTAATAATAAGAATTATTATAAAATAAAATACTTTAATATAATATCAAGTAAAGCAAATCAGAATTTATGATTCTCTATATTTATAACTGGAATAACTTATTACAATAGACAAGAATTTTAAAATATTTTAATCAAATAATTTTGTAAAATCGAATTTCAATAAAATTCTGTTTAATTTTAATACTTTGATTAAACTTTTATTCATATTTTTGTAAAAAAAATTTTTTTATAGAATTAACCAAGAATATGGATTTGATATCATTAAGTTTGTGACTTCAAATAAAATTTATTTGCTATTAGAGTCATAATTGTTTGTTATCAAATATAAGAAATCAAAAAAATGTTAAAAATTATAATGTAAAATATAATTTAAATTTAAATTTGCTATATACAGTTTAATTATATATATTTTTATTCTGCAATGTACTTTTATTGAACAAGTTTCTTTTTGTTTGATAATATGGTATATACTGTATATTGTTAAAATTAAATTTAGAATTTAGCTTGATACATAAGTTTGTCAAATAAAGCAAATAAAGTAGGAAAAAAATGAAATATATCAAATGTGTTTTATGATATCTTTAAAATTTTGTGAAATACGAATTGCCCATAAAACCGAAAATCGTATTGTATTTGCTTTCTTGAAGGTTTTTTTTTTTAAGCGTATTTTATTAAAGACATTGTGACGATAAGTTAACTTTGAGACACGAATATCAAGCTCGAATTTGATAATTGTAATGTTAAATAAAAATTGCTATTAAAAAAAAAAAAATACTGTAACTAAAAATTAATTGTTTACTATATGTTATTACGTTTCTTTTTCAATTAACGACTTACATATTAAATGGTTGATATAATTAAAAAAAGCTGATAGACAAATTGATTCAAGGATAACAAATATTTCTTTAACTATATAAATATAATTTAAAATTGTATCCAGATGATGTTTATTTGATGCTCTAACAATATTTAACATGGAGAAGAATTGCATTAATTTGTCTTTTTAATATATCATCAACTAAAAATGGTTTGGAGGCTTGCCTTATTTCTTCTACTTTATTGTTCCGCCATGTCTTCCTTACTAACCTGCTTGGCGTGAATGTGATCATCATCATTATAAATTGTGTGAACTTAAGACATGCCTCCATTCATAAGAAAGAATAAACACAGGTTCGAACAATTTAAAATTCTATTTTTAATGAAAGTATCAAGTAAATAAAATAAGAATGCAAAACATACGGGCAAGACATTGTACCATATCGTGTTGAACAATGGCATCTTTCAGATTTTGTTGCTTCATGCCATATCATCTAAATGTTTGGATAAAATGTAACCAAGCAAAATTGTAGGTGAGGAATCAATAGCCCTTGGTATGAATCACGCTTGGCCCGTGTTCGTTATAGTCAACTTTGTTGATAAATCCTTTAGGGTCAGGAAAAGAAAGCTATGAACATAATAAGCACAAACTCGTTATTTAAAAAATTCTTGAAGTTCGTTTTATTAGGATAATTCGCAACATACTTTAGCTGTGATCGAGGAACCGAGGAATCCTCCCAAATCTGGTCTCTCTCTCAGGTTGGTAAAGTATTCAGGCAGCTTCAAAAATTTTACTTCTTTGACCTGGAAATCTCCATAATTTTCCGAAGCAGATAGATATAACCGTAGTTCGGTTTCGAGACGTTCTTTAAAACCTATGATCCGATATGGGGAAAAGATAGAAAATGTGTTAAACCAAATAACATATATTTTGGTAAAAGTTATTCTCTGTCAATGTCACAAACCTTTTACAAGCGATGATCCACCTGTCACAGTAATACTCTCCCATAGTATATTTCGTCTATCTGTTTCACACAAAGATATTGCCAAACTGATGGCCTCGGGCAACGAAAGAATTCCGTGTCTATTAATAAGTTGTGGGTTGAAAAGAGGCTCGTAAACCTGCAAACGGACAGGACCAATTGTAAACTAAAAAAAAAAAGAAAAAAAATTTAAATAGGGATAATTCCATATATATATATATATATTATATATCCAGTCGTAGATTCAAACAAGGTTAGATATAGTATTACCTTTTTCTCAAGATAATCCACCTCCATCCTCTCCAATTTTTCATTATCGATTTGATAAGGATCTTCCGGAATCTCACAGATGTCCGTTTCTTTAATGGCTCTTGCAAATTCAAGATCAGGCGTGTCACCATATTCTTCCATAAATTTACTGTCAGATAAAAGTAACGAGAGAAAATATTCATCAAAATCCTGACCAGCTATGGGTATTACTTGGGCTGCATGATATTGGACCGAACAATCAATGACCGGCGTGATCTCTGAAAGTTTTTTGTAAAAGGTAGACGTATTAACAATGTGCTACTTGAAGCATCAACACATGCAATTATGCACACCGGTCTTTCCGTATCCAATGTCAACCACTAGACCAGTAAGACTTCCAAATCCGTACATCGTCATCAGCGCTTGATTGGCGATATAAAGTCCAGGAGCATTGAAGGTCTCAAAGAATAGCTGTGTGATGCGTTCGTAATCATCTCTCTTCCAACTATTAGGAACTGATACCAGTACGGGGCATTCGTTGCGTGCTCTTTTAATATTTAGTTCCTTCAAGAGAATGTGTCGCCTGTCCAGGGGAGTTTCGTACCGACATAAATCGATTCTTTGAATTAAACTGAGAAGTCTGATCCAGCACGAAGCAAGAAATCAAAATCAAACTACCATAAGGCTTCCAATTCTTCCCAATTTTGTATAACGCCGCGTTTGATCGGGTACGTAATCTGAAAATTGTCCGCAAATTTCTCCTTGGCTTCTTCTAGTTGTGCTCCGCATATATACTTTGGTTCTTTGGAGTTCCTTTTGGGTAGTGTGCTACTGTTTGGTGAGTTTGGCTCCGAAATATCTGGACTCGAAATGACTTCTATTTGTGCCTCAGAATTCTGGTTTTCCTGGTCCTCAATCTTACGACCTACTTTAGTAGGAATTAGCTACAGGCAAGGTAATATGTAGTATTTTCCGAGAAAAGCAAATATTTATGAAATAAGATCAATAAACATAGTTTCATTAAGAATTCTGCACTCTCGCACTAAATAAGGTTCGAAACCAGACATAGCCAGGCTACATTGTGCCTTTACAAGAACTCTAAAATCTAAATTTCGTAAAATTCTTTCGAGAATTTGGGTGAAACTTTACCACAGACGGAAATCGATTTGTGTCACTGACGCCCTTTATGGCTTTTATCTTGAACGATCCGTTTTCGATGACCACGTAATTTTCTTCCTTAAGCGAGAAATGCATTCTTCGAATATCTTTTTTTAAAATTTCTCGCGCATATGTACTGTATGAGTGTAATTACGTAATTTTGGAAAGCATTGTGTAACAAATTACCAGTTACATCACGCGAATGATAAATTGATTGAATGGTGCTGAGAAATCAGCAAACTAACTTTTTTTTTTTCGGAATAACGCGTCAATAATCAAAGTCACCAAGATAGTTTATCTTTATTAAGCAATGGATAAAAAAATTTTTGAATTTGTCGCGAAGAGAGATACCACCAACCTTGAATCTTACCTCGATGGTATCGACGTGGAATTAAAGAAACGGACATCTGTGAGATTCCGGAAGATCCTTATCAAATCGATAATGAAAAATTGGAGAGGATGGAGACTACTTTCGAGGATGGTTATTTGCTGAATCGGTAATATCCGTAAAATTAGTACATTTATAAAATTTTAATAATCACATTCCAAAGCTGGCTGAATTTGTGAGGCAGCAATTAAATGATGATAAGAGTCTTTATGATGAGCAGAAAGGTTGCTTTCCGTTAATTTGCGCGGTGTTCAGAGGTAAGAATTATCTGGATCTTTCTGCCATCGTGGAAGATGCTCAAACGCATTTTTCCATACAGGATCAGCGTTTGAGGAGCTAAGGAGCGAGGAAAAACAGATTGAAATTGAAAAATTAAGGGATCGAAGACGCGTAATGATAATGATGGAAATTGTAAAATGGTTGGTAACATATTAATGTCTGTTGATGAGATGAAGGGGTGGGAGAAGGTATTCATATTCATCGTGTTATTTTCAAGGTTGAGCGAAAAGGGGAACGAGACAACCTCACTTTTTGATAAGCTGGCTTCGGACTTGGTTGGTCAATGTATAAATGAGGTAGCGTTTATAAGGGGATCGCGGTTAGTGGGTTTCTGCGGATTTTCATCGCGATTAATTTCTTGGGTTCGATTTGTGAAGATGTCGGTTGGGTCTTGTAATTCGCCCATCGTGATCGAATCATTTGTGGAAGCTACAAAAATCATCATTCGAAGACTGCAAAGCCTGAAACCCATACACGGAAAATTATTCGCGTTTCTACCAATGTTTTTGTCTACTTTTGATACATTGCCTGAGGTGAACGAACCGCCGTCGGATAATTCTAGTTCTTGCATCTCGATGTCGGGTCCCGACTACAAAGATTACATACTGAATAAAATTTGTTCAATCAAATGGAATCCGAGTAATGTTCTGAGTTTGACCGGAGAATTCCGAGATATTGTCATGACCAATGAACAGGTGAGTAAATCTTCAGGAGTCTGAATAGTGTAAGTCAAACGATTATATTTATCAAGATCAAATTGTTCGTGTGAATTAATAGCTAAAATTCATAGTCGAAAAGATTATGAGGTAAGGAGCTTACTGCATAGTACTTGTTTCGATACGGAAGATTTTTTCTTTTATCTTAAAAAAAACTTTCCGAATATATAAAGGCAGTTTGATTTGATGGATGTGAATGGGATGCCACCATTAATTTATCAAATGCTCTTGCTCTCTAGAAAGGTATGCGTCAGTGAATCCCATATTTTAGCCTAGGTTTATTATTATTATTTTATAAATGTACTAATTTTACGGATATTACCTTTTTCTCAAGATAATCCACCTCCATCCTCTCCAATTTTTCATTATCGATTTGATAAGGATCTTCCGGAA